ATTTATACTTAGCTACTACTTCAATCTCCAAACCTTGAAGAGTAGTAATTGAGCATGAGTTTGAAAGTGCAGACTTTCTTTTGTAACTTCATAAGTTTAGATTTCTCCGCATTTAAATCACTCAGTTTTAAAGTCAAAACTCAGTCAAAGTTTTAAATCACTCAGTGTATGCTGAACTGCATCAAAATCAGATTTTCATTTGTAGCTAAAGAAAGATTAAAAGGTTAGTGGTGGCGCAATAAAATCAGCTGCCAGCTTTAAGAAATGTGGATCCAACATTTCCACATTTCTAAAACAAATCCAAATAAAACAAATCCAAATAAAACACATATATTTTATGTTTTCCTGCACTCCATGTGACCATTAACCATCATCAGAGAACTTTGAACATGCGAATGTGTTGTGTAACTTAAAATCTCAGTGGTATTTCCAGTAAACATTTGAGGTCAAAGGTTTTTTTCTGACAAAAAAATTTCTGAATCCCTTATTTTATAGTTTTCAATAAAAGATTGGAAGTGGAAGTGTTTTCAGGAATATGTATGCATGCTTATCACATGATTAAATAGTCTAGACTTATAAGACTTGTTAGTTGCAAGTCTTAGTCTACCTGAAATAAAGGTGGCAAGAGTCCACCACAGGCAACAGAGCTGCCGAGCACCTCAAGTCAGGTTGGAATTTCTGTGACAAAAAACTGCTATCCCAGTATTTATTGTTTAATGTTTTTAAAGGGGCAGTTACTGATGGATCACAATGGTCGACTAGTCGTCCACCAACCTCATCAACCTGTTTAATAAGATCGACTAGTTTACCTAGAATTCTTTTGTTAATGTTGTGTTCCACTCATCAAAGGAAAGTTTTCTGGGATCTATCTCTACTGTGTCCCAACATACCACAAGGAACTGGATCTCATCCAGTAGTTTGCCATTGTTGGTGTTGCTGATCTGGATGAGACGGTTGCTCTGGGAAATCTGGTCCATCTGTTCTTTCACGCTCTGCAGCATCTCCTCATAACTGAGCAACTTCCCCTCGATGTTGTCCACCTCTCCCAGAGCCCGATCCAGCAGCTGCATCAGGATGTTCACCTGCTTCTCAGAGGCCATGATGGACTGGATGTTAGCCTGAGCAGAGAAGAACAGAGATTACTATTCACAATAACAAAAATAAGCCTTGTTTTATCTTTAATGTGACTGTCAAACAATAAGACTTCTCAATATAAACTGCTATTCCCTAATCAAACAGACTTCAATCCACATTTACCTTGACCGTTAGATAATTATTGCACTTAGTTCAATATAGATAAAGTTAATTATAAACTCCTGATTACAGGTGCAATCAATACTTTTCCACTATGTCTAGTGCTAACACACCAGTGTTTTACTTCAGGAAACGATTAAACAAACTCACCCCATCTAGGACCTGTAGCTCACGGGACAGTTTCTCAGCAAAGGCCTCTGCGTTGGAAATGGCATACTCACAGACCTCCATCATGCTCTCAATGTCCAGCTCCTCACGGGCGTTCAGCTCCTGGTAATCGTCCAGAGCATCCTCATCTCCCCCTGCAACACTCTGACTCTCTCCGCTCGGGACCGACTCTGAGAAGAAGGAAAGATACATGAAAAAAGTGCTCTTATTAACCTCAAATGTTTATTACTGTATAAGCTACTATTCAAAAGTCTGGTGTCAGCAAGATCTTTTTTTTTTTAAAGAAACTACATGTTATATGACAGTAAGTTTATAATCCAAATAAATTCTGTTCTTTTGAATTTTGAAAATGTAGCTTTGCCATTACATGCATAAATTACATGTTTAAATGTAATAGAAAAATTGTCAGATTATAACAGAATGACATTACATTACAACAGAAAGATTGTAACAATTTTTCACAATATTGTTTTTACTGTATTTTTGATTAAATAAATGCAGCCTTGTTGAGCATAAGATACTTCTTTCATAAAACATAGCCAAACTTTTGAATGGTAGTGAGTGTGAGCATATGAGTATATTAACTAAACTACTCCATAAATGCAATGTAAGTAACACAAACACAATCTAGAGAGTGAGCAGTGGGTAAATGTTCCCAGATAACTATGTGACTAAGCAAAATGAATTAATGTGAAGAAAGAAAGACAATTAATGAGGGGGAAACAATAGCAGGAGGTGGAAACTGGAGTAGGGAAATGGAGAAGGATGAAAGATGGAAGAAAAAAAACAGCGTACAAACCTTCAGCTTTAGGAAGCTCTGGCCAGTGAGAGATTTAGAGAGAACAGCAGAGATCAGGTTAAACTAAAGCATTAAAGGACACTCAAAAAGACACATTGCAGAATCCCAAAGAGCTCAGAAAAAGACAGAGAGAGAGCACTAGCCACAGGAAAACAGAAACTAGTTTGAGTTCCTACCACTGGAAATGTAATAGTTCTACATTCAAGCTTTCAGACTCTTTTCCTTACATATTAGAATTACACAGGTAGTTTAACAACATGCTATTACACTTCCACAACACCGGGAGCAGTAGTGAGCCACACCTTCCAGCAGCTGTGGACTGACATTTACAAACTCCACTTTCTTCCGAAGGTAGCGCTGGTTCAGCTTCCAGATACACGAGATGAACGAATTCTTCTCTGCAGTGCTGCTCGCCACCCACCGATAAACCTTCTCAAAATGAAGGTCAAACTCTGGGTTCTCCTGAAGGATGGAGAAGTCCAAGATTTGCTCAGTAAATTCAGGTCGATTCCAGGTCAATAATTATTTTCATGTTACCCCAATTTCCATAAATATGTTCCATTAGTATGTTTCAATCATTTAAATACAAAACAATAAAAAGTAAATTCAATCACTTTAAGTGCTATAAGTGAATTTAGGTATAACAACATTATTTATGCACAGTATGGTTTATTTGAGATTTGCTAAAGATTAAATTTAACAGTGTTATTAAATTATTAGCGTTTTTAAAGATTAATTTTAAGTGAGCCTTCAGTGACGGAAAAGGTAATCTAACATTTAAATGAAATCCATCTGGTGTAATTATTGGAAACTAAACTAAAATAAAAATGTCTTTGTTAAATAAAATAAAGTTATAGTATAAATCTAGTATAAATATTAGATGAAAAACTTAAACTTCAAAAAATGAAAATTAGAAACTGAAATAAAATAAGTTGAAGTTGAAGTACTTTTACTTTTATAGTAGGCCATTATATAAGTAATACTAAAATAACACTGTATCCGATATCATCCAATAAGCAATCTGAAACAGGTAATATTATCTATCCATAACATTTAGTAATAGTTATTTTATTACTAAGCTTTATTTCATGTCTGAATTGAATCTTTCACATATGACCTCTGACCTTATTGGCATCTTTGGCATCAACCTCTGTCAGGTCCCGTAGTTCCCATGCCATCTGTCTCTTATAGAAATCTCCTTTATCCGACTTCTTCACTTTCACCACCTTCACCTGCACTGGGCGCTCTGTAGTCACTAAAGATGATAAACAGAACTGACAGAGGTAAAATAAACAATAAAAGAGTGTTTATGGACATTCTCTGACATGGATCTGTGTCTCTGCTCTACCTGTGGCACACAGGAAACAGTTCTTTTTCTTTTTCCCTGCCTTGCAGACATTGACAATGCTCAGCAGACGCTCGTCATTGGGGGTGAAAATATCCCTCTGAAGGGCATGCTTGATGGCAGTCATGTTTAATCCTGAAATTAAAAGCACAATTGGCTCATGAAAGGGCCTTCTGCTCGTTGACGCTGTCCAAGTCATTCAAAAGTGTATTCTTTTAAATGCAACATATTAAAAAAATTTCAGATTATAGCAGATACTTCATCTGTCATCTGTCAGTTTACAACAATAATCAAGTATACAAGACACAATAAGACATTACAAATTTGGCTGAAGCATGCAGGCAAACAAAGGTGTTTATTAAAATTAAAAGATCAAATTCATTCAATTTTATTCATGTAGACTTAAAGGTACATTTGCCCTTCATTCACAGAACTGTACTAGAATCTACCATGGTGATCCCATGTAAATACCACAATATATGAATATGAGAATTATTCATTAATATGACATACATCAGAATAATACGTGAGAAGAATACCGTCAGTTACAGAGTAACGTTAATACTTTTCTTAAATTCAGAGTTCGTGATTTTTTTCGTGGTTCGACAATTATTTAAATCTGTTTTGTATATAGATGAAGATGTCTTTATTGTTATAGTAACAGATTGTTTTATGAAAGGTCAGCTGACACAGTAAACAGCGCAGTGGCCTTTTCGGGAAGCTAATAAACTGCGACGTTAGTCGAATCTTACCTTAAGTTTATCCAAGTGAGCGACGAAAATGCCTTCTCTAACGCTTTAACTTGTATTTGTTAAAAATAAAAGCTTTTTTTTCTGAATATCACATCAGCTGTCAGGGACCCTGCTCTGAGACCAGTGTGAACACGAAAACTGTACACCTCCTGCTTCCGGTTAGTGTTTCTACAGTAAAAGTCCCTTAATTCTATGTTGTGCATTTTCATTATTATTATGGAACCGAACAATCGCAAGCCACGATATATTTGAGAATGATTTTAATTCAATCGATCTTGTGTGCATATAAAGATAATATAAACTGATGATCAATAATATATCAGAGCTCTAAACATATCATCCATACATTTTATCAGCTCTATCCGTATCTCTCAAGATAAACCCTCTCATGGCCCATGTGGGTCAAAAATGCAAACTGTAAAAAGGGAACTGACTTGTGTGTGGATGGTGATAATAAAAGGAAATCAAAGAACAAAAAAAACTTTTCCACTTTTCAATACAGTGCATTTCAGATTTGTTTTAGAATTTATCATTTATTCACACTGGAAATGTAGGCTAACTGGTTTGGCAATAAACTGACTGAGAACTACAGAAAATAGATTGTCTTATCAGTGCCCTGATAATGCTTATAAAACCAAGATCAGCTTCTGCCGATTTTCACTCTGCTTAACAGCGTCTCAAGATGAAGTCAGAACTTCTGCTGGTGTTGGTCTTGTCTCTCTGTGTGAGCAGTAAACCCCTGTCCAAAAGGAGGACATATAATAAGTTGCTGCTGATCTCCTTTGATGGTTTCAGGTGGGATTATGACCAAGATGTCAACACACCAAATCTGGACGAACTAGTTAAAGAAGGAGTCAAGGCAAAATACATAAATCCCCCAGCGATCACCATGACATCTCCATCACACTTTACAACTATTACTGGTAAGGCTCGACTTTCTGCTTATTTATTGGCCTGTGTGTAGTCAGAATACACACTTACAGACAAAAAAAAGAACAAAACAGAAGCTCTAACACGTTCAAATGCCTAATTCATCCAAATACTCAGTTGGTAGCTATAATTTTGTAATGCGTACTGAATATTATGACATTTAAATCAGTGGTTCTCATATGATTTGGTCTGGTTAGACTGAGTATCACTGCATGTTTTGCATCAGTTAAAAAATAGACACTGAGAGAAACAACTCAAACTTCAAATAATTTAATTAATTTATGATATTTTAATAATACTGAATTTCAATAATAATTGAATGAATACAAATATATAAAAATATATAAATGACACATTTAATACATTTTAAATAAAAAATATAACTTAGTAAAGAATATAATTATATATTATAATATTATAATGTATTGTATACATTTTACTAAAATTGTATTGTTTAATATAATTTTGAAAAAAAGTGCATAAATTCATGCACCTGCTTCACCATAGTTTACTCTGTGTTAATGTACATATTCTTGTCCAGAAAATTGTATTGTTTAATATAATTTTGAAAAAAAGTGCATAAATTAATGCACCTGCTTCACCATAGTTTACTCTGTGTTAATGTACATATTCTTGTCCAGTCTGCAATATCATGATGTTCAAAGTCTTAAACTGTCTTCTGAGAGCTGCTGAGCACACACTTACTGGGCCAATTACCTCAGCCTCATTAAATGACATGTGCAAAATTAGCACAAGCTCCAACTTAAAGGTTATTTACATAATCAGTGTTCCTTGTACATAAACTTTGCTCAGTGGCCAATTTACAGTGTATCGAGTCATGTATAAGAGTATTAAGAAATGTGGGTTTACATGCACGCTGCCATAACAAGTCATTTTAGTTTATTGAAATACACTATTTGACCACAGAAACATATTGGTTGATCTAACTGAATCCAATTTTCAATGTTAAATGTATACTTATTATATATCAGTATGATTGTATCTTAATCTTTTCTTCAGGGAGATGGATAGAGGATCACGGTGTTGTCCATAACCTGATGTTTAATGATAAAACTGGCCTGAGAGTTCCACACAAGGCAACACTGAAAAGATCAGAATGGTGGGATAATGGCGCTTTGCCCCTGTGGATAACAGCCCAGAATCAGGTGAACTTACTGACATTCCCAGAATTCCTTGTATGACACTTCACATTTGGTGGCTTTTCATTGAAATAACTTTTACTTTCTTTCTTTTCTTATGAGTTATGTACATTAGTGTTTTATGTTATATCTTATGTTGTTAAATTAATATTTATTGCATTATTTTATTGTTTATACTATATATATATATATATATATATACAATTATATATAGTATTTAGCTCAGCTTGTGGAAAAGCTACTTGTGATTAACTCGATTTGTCGTGGTTTTCTCTTTACCCCCTGTGTTTTGCTGGTTATCATTGTATTATAAAGGTACAAAACAGATTTTTTAGTACTTCAGTAGGTTGGTACTGTATATTATCATTATTCAGTAAATCAAATATATGTTTTTTTGTTTGTTTGTTTTTTACTGGAAATGTTAGTTTTCAGTAAAAACCTCTAAAACCTCTGATTTTTTATTGTAATGTTCTGGCAACCACAGCTGTTGTTGTTACTGTTGTTGTTTTTTACCATAAATTTCGCATATGTTCCTTACAGTGTATGTAAATATGTCCAGTAAAAGCATTTCTCATTGTAAATTGATTAACAAATTAATACTGCTCTTCTCCAATAATGTCTCCAATATATTTCAAAGGGTCTGAAAACAGCATCTTTTCTCTACCCTGGTGGAGGAGTGAATTACAGCGGCCAAGCTGTGGATCGTTTCCTGGTGGAAGATCATGGGCAACCTGATGATGAGACAGAGTGGCGGCAGAACATTGACACGGTGATGGGATGGTTCACCAAAGAGGACTTTGACTTTGTTACGCTTTACTATGGAGAACCAGACAACGTGGGTCACACTTTCGGCCCCGAAACCCCAGAGAGAATAAAGATCATTGAACAGATCGACCGCACTATTGGCTACCTCAGGGAGGCAATTCACAAAAATGGTTTGACTGATCATCTTAACGTCATCCTGAGCTCAGACCATGGCATGACCACTGTTAAAATGGCCAGTGAGGTTAATGAGATAAAATTGAGCAATTACATGAGTTTATTCAATCTAGCCCGCTTTGACCTGCTTGACTACGGTGGGTTTGGGATGATTACACCTAGGGAGGGCAAAGGACAGGAAGTTTATGATTCCCTGAAGAACGCACATCCCAATCTGACAGTCTATAAGCAAGAAGAGATACCAGAGCACTTTCACATACGCAAACATGAGAGAATTCAACCCATCGTCCTTCTGGCTGACCTGGGCTTCAATATCAACTCTGTAAGTGTCTTTGAAAATAAATATCCCTCATTTTAGCCAGTTGTTTGAAAGCTCAAATAATAAAATATTGTAGTCAAACATGCTAATTATGTCATACTAGCTTCACATTATTTAGCCAGTTTACAGTCCGTATCAGTAAAATATCAATAAATATGTCTTAAGTATACAAAGCTATTCAAAAGTTTGAGATTAGTGAGATTTGGAAACAGTAAAAACAGTAATATTGTGAGTGAAACATTATTTCAGTTTAAATGAACTGTTTTCTATTAAAACATATTTTAAAATGTAATGTATTCCTGGGATGCAAAGCTGATTTTTTAGCATTGTTACTCCAGTCTTCAGTGTCACATGATCCTTCAATCAAATCATTCTGATATGGTTGTCAAGAAACATTTCTATTATTATCAATGTTGAAAACAGTTGTGCGGTCTAATATTTTTTTGCAGAAACCCTGATACAATTTTTTTTCAGGATTCAAAGATGATTTGAAAGTTCATATTAACAGCATTTATTTGAAATAGAAATCTTTTGGAACATTATAAATGTCTTTGCTGTCACTTTTGATCAATGTAATGTGTCCATGATGAATAAAAAGCATTAATTTCTTTAAAAAAATAGTAGTGTAAATAGTAAATATTGCTTAAAGCTACATGTAAAGTGGGTGAATTTATTAAACAGTTTGTCTTCTACTCTAACTTTTTGTTTGCTGTTTGTGCAGAGGGTCATTTTGCATATCAACAAAGGAGATCATGGATTCAGTAATGAGGAAATGGATATGAAAATGATCTTTCGAGCCTTTGGGCCAGACTTTCGGGACAATTTCTTGGCTGAGCCATTTGACAGTGTCAGCATCTATCCGTTGATGTGTAAGCTGTTGGGTGTAGTTCCAGAAGCAAACAATGGCAGTCTCAGTGACACCAAAGACATGCTAGTGGATAACTTTGATGCTGGTAAGCATTTGAATTGACTCTCAGAAGGGTTTCATTCAAAAATGGCCTCTCCCATCAGTCTAAAAGATTATTTTAACCATTTAGCTTTTTCTACCTGCTAGAATTTTAAGAAAATGTAATACCCAATTAATGACATTAACTGTTCTTTTTGGCAGGTGGGAGCAGTGGAAGAATCAAGGTGTCTTTGAGCCTTCTGCTACTAATGATAATTATCTTAACCTTAATTTGAAGAGATTTGCCAAAACTAACTAGCGATCAGCAAGCCCAAAATACATTTAAACTAAGAACACTATAATCACAAATGTCTATTAAATAAAGACTTCTTCCAGTGCTGAATGTGATGGTGATAACTGAACTTTTTCCTTTCATATTTATTATATAAAGTAAAATTATACAAGTTTATACTGGAAGTTTGTTTTTATTGTGCACACATTTATGAAATATAGCAAATATCAAGCATGGTCACAACAGTCAACAAATGTATTTGTGATTTGCTAAACTTCAGATTTTATTTACATGTGAGTTTTTATAAAAATCCCTTAATCCCACATATTCCACTTCCCTTTAAGTGCATTCAAAACATAAATACACATTCTTTTAAGTTTAGAGTACTGAAAAACACACACAACAGCATCAATATTGCACACAGTATAATACACAGAGGTCAACATATATATTTTGAAGCATTATATAAATTTCATGCACAAGAAATATTTAATTGAAGGGGAAATTTTAGTTTGTGTTCTTGATTACATATTACTGTATGTATATTACATAAACATGTTAAAAAAAATACAGTCTCGCTGAATGCAAACAAGATTTGTTCAGGTATTTTGATCAAAATCAGCTCTGCAAACCTTTTTACATGTTATCATATTTACTGTATCATTGTTTCGTAAGCATCACATTCATGATGCTAAACTGACATACATCTGCACTTTTTAAAAATATATACCAAAGGAAAGTTCTTATAAAATTTTGGTAAAAAAATAAAAGGCATTTCAGACACCTTTATCTTTTCAAACATCCCAACTGCCCTTAACTGGGATGCACTAGTTGCACATTTTTGGTACCAACTGGTACAAAAGAAGAGTACTAAAAGAGTCTTGTACTTGCTCAATGCCAGTCCACATCCTGCTCATCATCCAGCTCTACTAAGCTTTCCTCAGCTCCACTACTCTCTTCTTGCCCTCCTCTTTGTGCCTCTTTCCTCCTTGCTTCCTCCAGCATCTCCTGCCTTGCCTTAGCGGCCCGCTCCTCCTCTTCTCTTTGGCGCTGTGCTGCTGCCTTCTTCTCCTGCTCGGCGTGACTCTTCATGTGAGCGCTGCGACTCTTCACCTTATAGAACACCCTGTATATACAGACCTCATTAGAATTTATTCAAGTCAAGAAACTGCTTTACATACAGCGGGTAAAATAAGTATTGAACACATCACCATTTTTCTCAGTAAATATATTTCTAAAGGTGCTGTTGACATGAAATTTTCACCAGATGTTGTAACAATCCAAGTAATCCATACATAGTTGGTTCAGTCCCAACTGATGGCCTATAAAAAGGTGTCTCATGACCAACGTGTCACACAAGAAACATTTCATGATGGGTAAAAGCAAAGAGCTCTCTCAAGACCTTCGCAACCTTATTGTTGTAAAACATACTGATGGCATTGGTTACAGAAGGATTTCTTTACTTCTGAATGTTCCAGTGAGCACTGTTGGGGTCATAATCCCCCCCAAAGTGGAAAGAACATAATTTCACCATAAACCAGCCACGACCAGGTGCTCCTCGCACTCCAGAGCAGTGAAAAAACTTATCAGAAGAGTTTTCTAAGAGCCAAGTACCACTTGTGGAGATCTTCAGAAAGACCTGGAATTAGCAGGTACAATTGTTTCAAAGAAAATAATAAGTACAATAAGTAATGCACTCAGCCGCCGTGGCCTGTATGCACGCTCACCACGCAAGGCTCATGGCCAGCCAATCACCTGACTTGAATCCAATAGAAAATCTATGGAAAGAACTACAGATCAGAGTTCATAGAAGAGACCTTCAAGATTTGAAGACTGTTTGTGTGGAAGAATGGGCCAAAATCACACCTGAGCAATGCATGCGACTAGTTTCTCCATACAGGAGGCGTCTTGAAGCTGTCATTACCAACAAAGGCAAATTTCAGTAAGCGTGTTCAATACTTTTTTCCTGGGTCATTCCATTTTATTACACAGAACTTAATTTCTGAACTTATTTTTGTGTTGTTTTCTTTGTATGTATGGATTACTTGGATTGTTCCCGACATCTGGTGAGAATTTCATGTCAACAGCACCTTTAGAAATATATTTACTGAGAAAAATGGTGATGTGTTCAATACTTATTTTACCCGCTGTATGCTAAATAACATATATAAAGCCACTAACTAGCAAAAAAACTAGAGTGAATGGTATGAATATAGGAATTTATCAAAGCATGGGCATGAGAAAATAATTTAAAAAGCACTTGTCCTTACGCATCTTTTTAAATATCACCGGAATGTTTTTTAACATTTAAGAGTTTTTGTTGTTTGCTGAATTTTTATGTCGCCTCAGTCCAATGAAATTGATAAAGTATTATATTTAATATAAAAATATAAAATTAACACTCATTTTAAAAATAATTTCAAATAATGCTATTAAATTAATTACATATTAAAGTAAGTTGGAGAAATATCACTGTTTAGATGTTAATATATACTAGGAAATGATTATTAATGAAACAATATTTTATTTTAAAATACTGAATCACCCTCAGATTCCAGCTTTTCAAATAGTTGTATCTCGGCCAAATATTGTCCTATCATAACAAACCATGCATCAATGGAAAGCTTATTTATTCAGCTTTCATATGATGTATACATCTCAATTTCTAAAAATTGACACTTAAGACTGGTTTTGTGGTCCAGGGTCACATATAATTTATTATTATAAAACATTAATTCATATTAATAGTTGTAATAATAATAATAATAAAAAATAACAACAACATGCTTATATTAAAATATTGATATATTAAGTAATTTGGAGAAAAATCACAGCCTAGATGTTACAATATTGGGACATTACCATCATATATTATTAAAATATTTAAATAAAATACTGCAATATTTTAATAAATTAATTGTGATGATAATATTAACACTGGGGACTTGATATTCAAATACAGAAATATTACTTTCAATATTTCAGACAAACTATATTGGAGATCAGAGATAGAGTGTACAGTGAGCAGAATTCTTACTCTGGAACAAAACTGTTCTCAACTGTCTTTTGAAGTAAATGCAACTAGGACAAGCTGGGATGCTTCAAATTTAATGAGTAGAAATTCAAAGACACATACTGTTATATAAACACTGACTCACCTACTGCACTTCTTGCAAGGGAAAATACCCTCTGGCTCTCCCTGACTTTTGTTGCCAGTTGAGGCCCTGTTTTTCTTCCCGGTACTGTCAGAGCGAGGCTTTGGAGGTGCAGGGGAAGGAGTTTTGAAGGAGGGTTGAGGAGCTGGCATCAGGCCAGAAGACTCTTCCGCAGAGCTGTTCTTCTGATCCTCATGAGCCACGTCTGCCCTCTCCTGGACGAATTAGTAAACACAACCACGCAATCAGATTTAGCCATGCATTCTGGACATTTAACATTCCAGCCCAGAGAAACATGATGAATGGTGTCTTTATGATGTATTCACTATATTTATATACAAACGAGAATGCCTTCAATCCAAATACTTACATTCTGAATGTTCTGAAGTGTCTTGGTCACATTTTGTAGACTGTGATCCACATTGTCTTGTGTGGCCTCCTGTTGTCTGCTATCATTTTCTTCTTCTTGTTTCACTTTAATCTTGTTAGAGATAAAAGATCAGACAAGGCTGACCAGCACTCATGTATCACAATGTACAGATTGTTTTAGCACAGATTTTGTAAGCATTCATACAAATTTCCTTTTCAGATGTAAATGAATAATTATTAATTTACTGTACATGTGCTATTAGCTCTTTAGTCAAAACAATGTCTAAAAGCAGTAATAGCCTTTACCACAGGGATGTTATCCTCTGGCTCTAAAGGTCCATATGTATATGTGCCATTACGGCCAACCTTTGCTTGTTTCTTATAGGTGTAGTAGAACTCCACACACTGTGCCACTGTTTTACTCCTCACCTGCCAAAATAGAAACACAATGTCAACCTTAAAAAGGGGAAATTTGATTTACATGAATCTATATAAGACCAGTAAACAAAAAAGACTGTATACCAGTTTTTGCACCAAGAAGAAATCTCTCCTGTAAGCAGAAATTCCCTTGTTGAAGCATCTTTTTTCATCCACAGTCCAGCAGTCTGATCCTGCCAATATTTAAGGGACATTAGGTTCTTTCTATCCGCCATACATTACAAACATTCTGCTGCATTGCAAAACTATATCCATTTACAGTCACAGCATGCTGAATCATGTTTAATGTTTCTAAGTGAACACAGTGAGCTCTGCCATTAGATGTAAATGAATTTCTACCTGCGTAGTGGTAGTTTGCTAGATGGTGGTTCTTGGAGAAGATGGGATTCTTCATCAACATCATTTCCAGAGCTTCCTACAGAGTCAAAATAGATTTGTTGTTTATCCTGAAAACATGTGTGACCCTGCCTATGAAAACCAGTCTAAAAAAAATCTAAAAATCTAATTCTGAGATGAGCCTCAAAGTTTGATTTCACCTATTAATTTCATTAACATTTCAATTTTTAACATGGTCTTATTCAGTCAGTGTTAAAGATATCAAGTTTGTATTTTCACAGAATGTTCTGTACATTATGTAGGACGATTTTATGTAGAAAACAGTACATTTCAAAAAAATGACTTTAGCTGGGTTTTCACAGGCAAAGTCACATATATATGCATCATATACAGTGTCCCCAACAAGTATTTGGACACTTTTAGATGCATACACTAATGTTCAAATGTTTGAAGTTATTATGAAAGGAATGAATACTTATTTCAGCAAGGACGCTTTAAATTGAAACTTTAAATTAAAAAGGAAACTAAAACGTTTACAATGTTACAATAGATTTCTATTTCAAATAAATGCTATTCTTTTGAACGTTCTATTCATCAAAGAATCCTGAAAAAATGTATCACATTTTCCACAAATATATTAAGCAGCACAACAGTTTTCAGAACTGATAATAATAAGAAACGTTCCCTGAGCATCAAAACAGGATATCACAATGATTTCTGAAGGATCATGTGACACTGAAGACATCTTTTGCCATCACAGGAATAAACAACATTTTAAAATATATTAAAACAGAAAACAGTTCTTTTTAATTGTAATAATGTTTCACAATATTAGTGTTTTACTGTATTTTTATTAAATAAATGCACCTTTAAGAGCATAAGAGACCTCTTCCACAAACACTACTCATACCAAACTTTTGAGTTGTAGTCTAAGTCCTTAAAAGTGTATGAATTTCATTTCATTTGACACAAAATATCAAAGCGCATTTGTGAACTAACATTTTTCCTAACTGGTGCCAATGTGATTTTTAGATGTCTTAAGTCAGACATTTTTCAGTGTGACTCAAGTGTCCAAACACTTTTTGGTACCACTGTATATTTAACTGTGCTCACCATGACATCCCCTCTGCACTCATGCAGGCAGTGCATTGCTAGCTCTGGGTTGGTTCCTCCTCCATACGTGACACTGGAGCAGACCAGGTTCATCAGGTCATCAACTGGAAAATAATGGGAATGGAAGGATTGGAATGGAAGTATGTGAGACATATGTCTGTGTTATATGCAGCTGGTAAACCTCAGCTATATCAGTGCAGTCTAAAGATAAGTTACGTCTTGTATCCTGGGAGGGTGTAGAATCAGCCTTTGAATTAGGGAGCCAGACCAAAGTGGCTTTATGCTGGTCCTTTAGGGCCAGTGCTC